ATTAAGCTTACTATTTGTAAGAGGGATATCACAGCTCACGTGTACTACAGTACCACATAGGCTGAGTTCCCTCCTCTACAATACCACATGATAGGCTGAGTTCCCTGTATAATACCACATGATAGGCTGAGTTCCCTCTACAGTACCACATGATAGGCTGAGTTCCCTGTACAGTACTACAAAGGCTGAGTTCCCTGTACAGTACTACAAAGGCTGAGTTCCCTCTACAGTACCACATGATAGGCTGAGTTCCCTCTTCTACAATACCACATAGGCTGAGTTCCCTCTACAGTACCACATGATAGGCTGAGTTCCCTCTACAATACCACATGATAGGCTGAGTTCCCTCTACAGTACCACATAGGCTGAGTTCCCTCTACAATACCACATGATAGGCTGAGTTCCCTCTACAGTACCACAAAGGCTGAGTTCCTGGCAGAGCCTAGCCTTGTCCAACTGTACAAACACGGTGTACCGCGCGGCGTGGTGTAGTGGTTAGGCGCTTGGCTGAAACACGCAGGACGAGACCAGAGTTCGATTCACGAGTGGGGAGAATTTTGTGTATCGAGTACCTCGGTATTTCTGCAAGGGTGTTGTATCCCACTTAGCCGGGGTTGGTCGTGGCAGGCAGGGTTGGAAGCTCGCCTCCAATTTTTTAAATTTAAAATGTGTCTATGTAGGCATTAAATCGCCTACATTTTTAAAAATTCAATGTGAACGGGTAGTTGGCGGTGCCTTGGTGTGGTTTGCTCCCTCTTTCCTGTCAGGCATATGTCGTCCATATCGCAACTCTCTCCCCTCCTTTTTACGGTGTTACTCTCTTGTAACATCTCTATTCTTCGACACTTATAAGACTTATTGTGTTGTATATGCCGTAAAACTCGTACTACAACGATTCAGTGTTAGCGGGTGGTTGGTGGTTGCTCTAGTGTGGTTTGCTCCTTTCCTGTCAAACGTCTATCGTCCTTATCTCAACTCTCTCCCCCATTCTTTTTACTGTGTGTTACTCTGTTGTAACATCTCTATGCTTCGACACTTATATAACCTGACTGTGTTGCAAGTGCCGTAAAACTCTCACTGCAACAACCCAGTGTGAGGTGTCTGGCCATTGTTGGTGTTGTGTGCAGTGTTCACCTTCTTGGCCACCCCGTGTGTGTGTGGGGGGG